TATTCATTCTTCCTAGTTCTATTAGTATCTTAACAACCATTAGTTAAGTAATTAGCTTACTTAACTAATTAGTGGTGAAAACCACATAAAGAAATGCCTGATTTCTCAGATTCCAGTGCAAGTTTTCTTGTGAGCATGTTTTTTTTTTTTGGTCCATAGTATTAATCACCTTCTCACATGCATTCATAATATTTTTCATAAAAATAGTTCCTTGTATATTCTCATTGCCAGAAGCCAAACCAAAGTGATCTGTGAGAATTAGAAAGGTAAGACTGAACCATCAACTGTCCCCTCGGCAGGCTTATCATTACAAAAATAGCAAAGATGAGTGTTGGGACAACAGCGAGGTTATTTTCTTCTTAGATCAGCATACATCTTTGCCATTTCTAGAATAGTACATTTGCTTAGGGAACACTATAGTTAAGTGGTAGAATTCCTGGGTTTCATGCTGAAGACCCAGGTTGAATCTCCAACTGGTCCATCTCAATTGCACAGCCCCCACTCATATACCAGTGCAGGCATTGCTATGATGCAGAGGAGCTCATGGCTGACAAAGACTAAGAAAAGGACCTGGTAACCTACTTCTGAAGATCAGTCATTGAAAACTGTGGAGCACAACAGTCTGAGCTGCAACTGATCCTGAGCATAGTTCTACAAGCTCCATTGTGCACAAAATCACCATCAGTTGTGCATCAATTTGACAGCAGCTAACAACAACAACAAAAAACTGCAAAGATTATTTCAATGTTTATAGGTTCTTATTATGTGCCAGATACTGAATGAGTTGCTTAACCATTCTTATATTAAGTTACGATTTCCTTAAATTGAGGTTCTCAAAACAACCCAATGAGTTCAATTTTATTACCATATGGTCACAGATTAGGAAACCAAGTTGCTACAAGAGTAAGTCGAAAACACATGGGACAAACACACACAGTCAGTACAAAGCAGAGATCTACTGCCAATCCTTGGATGGCTATGCTTTTCCTTAGCATGCTACATCCAACTGTGTGCGGAAAACCTGACACATTTTTCATGTCATGTAAACCCCGAGAAAGTGTAGATTGAGACTTAGCTATATTAGCAACCAGGTTCCTCAGAGTGTCCAATTATTTACCAGGACCATGTTCCACACCATAGTCTCAATAAACCAAATGTGAATATTGTGCCCTTTAGGTATGTGGGAATGAGAACAGTGCAATTAAGAACAAGCTATTATCTGAATGATGATTATATCCTACCAGATGAAAGTATCATGAATCTAGTGATGAATATGTGATAATTATGCTAAGGAACAAACAGAAACCATTTTTATCAAAGAGGAAAAATCCAAAAGTTTATTTAGCACCATTATTTTTTTGCAATTACAGCCCTGTGGGAGTTATGATGAGCAGACTTTGAATTCCATTAACTAACTCACTCCTATGGATTACACCTCAGTGTCAACATGAAGAAAGCAAAAATTCTCGCAAGTGCTCTATGAGGGTTAAACACCAAATCATCTCCTCTGTTTTGAGGTACTCTGACTGGACCATTTCTAGACCTGGAAGTATCCTAGAGATCATCTCTGTCAATCATTTTATAGTTGAGAAAGTGAGGCAGAGACGTGGCACAACTTGATTTAAGAGCACACAGAAAAGGGGTGTCCTGACAGGGGTTTAAATATTCTCTCTATAGCACCACATTTACCTGGTTTGTAAAGTTGAATGAGTCTACTCTTTAATCTGCTTTTACTTAAAGTTGACATGCTGGTTTATCTTAGAGAAACTGGTTCCATATCCCTAGGAAAATGTGTGAAAATTGAATCTATCCTCCTTACGGATTCAATCTTAACTTCTACACCTTCTCTATCAGCATCATCGTTCATTGAGATGCATGTCCAGAAATTCTTCCTACTAGAATGCCAGTTTTATGAGAACGGGAAGGGCCTTAATTTTCTTATTCCTCATTCTTTCTCCCAAATCAGCACCTGACTGATAATAAGGCAACAAATATAGGCAGTAAAACAAGTGAACTTTTCTGTGTAATATCTCTCTCATGGGTTGAGAACTCCAATAAGATAAGAACCTCCCCTAGCATTGCATGGTGAGTCCCTGGAATGATGGCTCCCATACAGGAAGCAATAAAATAGCCATTGAGTAAATCAAAGAACACTCCTATTATATTTATGCATAGTACTTACTAGAAACCAGGAAATTAAAAGACATATTGTGATGTGAAACTCTGTTGTTAGAGACCTCTCCAAAGTACTGAAGAGCAATGATGTCACTCTGGAGACTAAGGTGTGCCTGAAACAGGCCATGATCTTTGCAATCACTAGTTATGCATCAGAGAGCTGGACAATGACTAGAGACAATAGAAGGAGAGTTGATGCCTTTGAGCTGTGGT